ACTGCTCATGCTTAAAAGTGGATCACTGAAATATCTGGGTTAACAAAAAAGGAAAGAAGAGGTTATTTTTTTTTAAACTCAGACCAGAGTAGAGATGTGCTTTCCAACCACAGTCCCTGCACAGCTGTTGGGACAATGACCTGCAGCAGAGGAACAGCCAAACGTAGGAAATGCCCAAATAAACAGTCTGGAGCAGAGAAGGGGGTGGCATCGCTGTCCTGCCTGGATCCAGGGCATGTTCCCCTTTCCTGGGGGAGGTGGGAGGAGTCAGATCATCGCAGTGACCCCAAGGGAAGTGTCTGTCCCTTCACCTGGCACATGGGCAGTGGCACTGAGGGGGGAGGGCAGGTGGAACTGCGTCTTTTGATGGGAGACCACAGTCAGAGCAGATTAGAGCAAGGGGAAACTGGTCCCTCGAGGGACCTAATCAACCTGTCAGTGGTCCCTAATGTGGAAGTCACTTGCAGTTTTTGCTGCAGCACCACAAACACACTAATGTTTTGACAGGCTGGGGCAGTGCTTGTCATCTGAATATCGTGAGTTTGTGTGAAAGATCCTATCCCACTTTTAAAGAATTTGGCCTCTGCACCTTGTTGACAGCACGGAAATGTTTCAGTGCTGTCCAAATGCAAGTAAATAAATGCAGAAGGCTGAGGCTACATCGTAGGTATGCTGCTGTTACCTAGCACCCAGAGAAATTAGTTTTGTTGGACAAAAAATGGAAACACCAGCCAGGATATTTTGCTTCAGTTTAGCTTGTTTGCTGGAATTACTTGTGGTTAGTAATGAGCACAAGGTTCACTTGTAATAATAATGTAACCATGGTAATAAGATAACACAAGCTGCTGCCAGGCTGATTTGCTGATAAGATTTATACCCTGTTATATTATCCAATGCAATTAAGAAATGCTCGGAAAATTAACATTAGAATAGATTAAAATAAAGTATCAGAGGTGTAGTGGCAGCTGTGGGTCTTAAGCATGGTCCCAAAGTGGACGTGTCACTGTGCATTCGATGGGCTGTGTTTCAATGAGCAAGGAAAGGGTTTGCTTTCATTTTCCAAGCAGGGAATTGTCATGTTCCTCAATTCTTGCAATTTGTGGCACTCATTTTAGTGTGACAGGTCAGAAATGAACCTTGGAAAAGCAACAAGTGTTAGTTGGCCTCGTTTAATCTAAACTGAATTGGAAGATCAGCAGGGGTGGAAGAGGGAAAGACAAATGTATGAGTTGGGATACAGGGGTTCACTCCTAGTAGGAAGGAAAGGAATGGTAAGATGAGGGTCAGAAACTCTTTCCCCTTGCCTGAGTGTTTGGGATTCACTGTCTATCATGCCAACCACTACTTTCTCAAAGCTCCTTTTTATATTACCAGAGGCAGCCACTTAGTCTTTCTTGTCTTGTAAACTCAGAGGGGCAGGGACCATCTCTTCATTCCCTATATGTGAAATGTGAAGAAACACAGCATTTCTGCCACTTAATATAATCATAAGAGCTGAGCCGGGATAATCATAAGAGATGAGCCATTTCATAACCGCCTCTGTACCAGACAGAATTACATCTCTCACAACATCCTAGCAACAGAGCTCCTCAGTCATCAGCTCTTCTCCTTCCTTGCAGATAACTCACTGCAACCCCTCTTGCTACATTTGAGTTTAGGATGGGGAACCTGGGATTATTTGTTTGGGGAGAATTTCAGCTGATGAAGGGATTTCAGTGAAGGAATAGCAACCTCACAAAGGATTATAAGAGCAAGTCCTTCAGCTGTTGCCATAAGCCAGGAGAGGAGTTGGAGACAATTCTGGACTTGGAGACTTTTTTCATCTGAGAGTCCTATTACTCAGCCCTTGCTAAGAGTTTTGAGATGTTTGGTTTGCTGAGATAGAGGCCTCCAGAGGTTGTCCAGTCAGAGCTAATATGGGGATTGGGGCCTCCCTCTTGTCTCAGACTGGTTTTTCATGGGGATGATCAACTGTGGTGTGAATGAGAGAGGAGAAACCAGTCTTAGTCTCTTGTTCTTTCTATGCTTGAAATACCTGCTTTACTTAAGGACAATACCTATCAAAGACACCCTTTCCTCCATCTCCTCACCTTATTGTCCTCTTTTGCCTCTGTCTTTCATCCATATTCTACCACCTATTGCTGGACTTTTTCTCTCACTGCTTATGAGCTCTTTATTTTGTTGTTTTCCTGAGTAAATTAAAGGGTCTGTATTTTTTGGTCATTCTCTTTGCTCCTTCTACTGCCTTCACACCCTGCCTTTCCAGGCTCTCCCTCCCCTTGTCTCCATGACCTATGCTCTGCTGAGCTAAATCCTGGCTCTCAAATAGTCTCTGTGGCCCTCCCCTCACTTGTTTTGTCTTAGGTCCCACCTTGCTTTCCTTCTATTATTCTCATAAACTGACATTTCTTGCTGGCTGCTCACTCACACATCTCTTCCCATGCTGTCCCACTGCTTCTCTGGCACCTTATTCCTTCCTCTATGGGGAGAAACCTGGCTGGCTCTTCATCAGATCCTCCTTCCCTTCCTCTTTGCTGATTCTGTCCACACAGTGAGCCTGGTTCAGTTGAAGCTGAGTTCTCCTCTCCACATGATGTAGGGAGTTAATTGCTGTGGCAGTTTTTGTTTCTTTTCCTTCCTGGAACTGATGCACTGTGAAGGATGAACACAGGAGTGCCAGCAGGGAGTCCAGGAGACAAGCAGCACCTTACATTCCTCAGAGTGGAAGAGGTGACTTGGGAGGGAGGAATTGGACTGAAATCTACCAGGTGATAAGTGGCAAAACAAAAAAATCTGAACCTTAAGACAGATTTTCTTTAGCTTTATTTTTCTTTATTTTTGAAGCAATGCCTACACTGTACAGTGCACAACAGCTCAGAAAGAGCTGAAGTAGCTTTGCATAAATATTGCATGAAGCTTTGTGTACAAATGCACACGAGGCACAGAGCTATATGCAAAACCTGGCTAGAAAGGGTGAAGAAAAATGTGGAAGCCTCTGCTTCCATATCTGGAGAGCTTCTGGTAACCGTTTGGGAAAGTAACTCTGCACTGCAATACAGCTTTCAGCACAAATATGCTCCGAGGTGCTGTGAGCCAAGCCCCACGTAGGAGCAAAAGCCATGGAGACGATTTTTAGGTCAGCAGGGATGGCCTAAAGGTTGTGGGGCAGGGGCTGAACCTACTTCTGGGCCTCTTATGGGCCCAGATACATTAAAATGAGTAGAGAGACAGTGGTCCTGTATGGGACTTATTTTTTATTTCCAGTTTTCCTTAGCAGCCTCAGGCAAACCTTTGCCCTTGGGGCATCCCTTGTCCTTTCAGTGTTTGTCCCTTCGCTCTGTGGCTCCAATTTCATGGGCTCTTGAATCTGGCAGGAGTGACACTGTTCCCCAAAGAAGTGGCCTTGCCTTCTCTGGCTGCTTATTCCTGTGCTGCCACACTTCCACCTTTTGCTGGCAGATCAGGAGCCAGGAGAGCAAAGCAGGTATGGATTTACCAAGCCATAGGGGCTGCACTGAGGACCTGCATCCACACTGCATGGATTTCAAGGGCATTACTTTGGGCTAGTAGTATTCTCATCCCACAGACTGAATGTCCATTAGTGAGCATCCATTGGTGGTTGGAGTGCTTTAGGAGTGCTCCCTTCTTCTGCTTTTCTTTCCCCCCCAAATCAGCTCAGTTCGTTTGTTCTCAGACCCCTCTGTGATGCGAATCACAGCTGGAATGATCTGGAGGGACCCTTCAAAAAGTCACTCCCAATCCAAACTAAAAGAAGACCGTAGATGCCCTGTGCTGACATGGCTTGGGGTGAAGCAGCTCTGGGAAGAAATCCAAAGGAAAAAGAAACAGTGTTGGCTTCAGCTTCAACCATCCTCTGAGCATGTGCTCTCACCTACATTTGGGAGGGACCGAGGGCTGGTTACAAGATGCGAGAGGAATTGGATCTCCTTCATTGAAAGCATTTTACATTGGTTTAAGAAGACTGTGAAGTGAGGATCTTTGTCAGCTGTGGGCTCTCAGGACAAGGGCCAACACCTACAGCAGGTAAGGTGGGTGTACGACACGCCACTATGTATTGTGTGCTGAAAACAGCATGGGACTGGGGAGACAAATTTCGTCTGAGACCTGTCACAAACACTCATAATCTTCTGAGGAACAGGGGATAGAGCATTTCATTATGCTCATAATGTCCATGAGAGCTGCTGTACGGTGGGCTCACATCTTCCCAAACAAACCCCTTGTTGTTGTGAAGGGCTCCCTCAATGCCTGTTTCTGCCTCTTCCATTTCTCCCCCTCAGTACACGTCTGCAACTCAATTTTTGCTCTATTTTGATACTAACATTTTTCTGTGCGTTTTGTTTTTTTTTCCCTTCGGCATCTGCATTCCACCCCCCTGCCTCTTTCCACCACATGCCCATTGAAAACCTAATTGCAGATCCCTTGCTGCAATTAGTCTATCTGCTGCTACGAAGTTCACTTCATTGTGGCTTTTTTTTGGCTACTTCACTCAAACGGGCTTTGTAGCAACACCTCGCCGGTGCTTTAATCCCGGTGCCTGTGCTGTGGTCAGCACCCCGGCGTAAGGATGGTCATGTTCTCCTCTGCTTCCCACCTTTCCCTGCCCTCTCCACACGCCCTCACCTCTTCATGACAGGATCTTTTCTCCCCAGATGCACCATTTACGCTCCTGTTTTGGATGTGTCGGTCTGTATAAGCAGCATTTGGCTTTAAACTGACACAAGGCATGTTTAGATCAGATATTAGTAAGAAATTCTTGACTGTGAGAGTCGCGAGGCGCTGACACAGGTTGCCCAGAGAAGCTGTGGCTGCTCCATCCCTGGAAGTGTTCAAGGCCAGGTTGGATGGGGCTTGGAGCAACCTGGACTAGTGAAAGGTGTCCCTGCCCGTGGCACGGGGGTTGGAACTGGATGGTCTTTAAGGTCCCTTCCAACCCAAATCATTCTGTGATTCTACAATTACAATTCCATCGTGATTCTATGATGCCCTGTGAATACGCCGTGCAAGGCTCCAGAGGTCAGATTCTCGGGAGGTCAGTGGTTTGCACCCCCGCGCACCCCACCTTCCCGCGGCGAGCGGACGACGGAGGTGAGAAGAGCAGGAGAGAAGGAGAAAAAGGAGGAGAAGGACGAGGAGGAGTAGAAGGAGGGCGATCTCGGGCGTGCATCCTCCGCCGGGCGGGGAGGAAGGCGGGAGGGAAGGAGGGCTGGAGGCGGGCGGTGGGCGGGCGCGGGGCGGTGGCAGGCGGGGAGGGAGCCGGGCGCCCCGCGGACCATTCGCGACCGGCGGCGGCGGCAGCGGCGGCGGCAGCGGGGCTTTGAGCGGCGCCGGGCCCCCCGCGGGCAGCGCTGTCAGCGGCGGCCGCCCCCTCCCCGGACATGAAGCCGAGCCCCGCGGGCGCCGCGCCGGCGGCGGGGCCGGCACCGGGAGCGGCACCGGGAGCGGCACCGGGAGCGGGAGCGGGGGGACCCGCCGGGGCACCGCGGGAGCCCGATGCGCGCTGGAGGGAGAAGGGCGAAGCGGAGGCGGAGCGGCAGCGCACCCGGGAGCGGCTGGAGGCCACGCTGGCCGGGCTGGGCGAGCTGGAGTACCTGCGGCAGCGCCAGGAGCTGCTGGTGAAGAGCCTCCTGCTGCGGCGGCCGGCGGGAGCGGCGCCCGGGGCGCAGGGCGGCCGCGGGGACGCGCCGGGAGAGGGGCCGCCGCCGCGCAGCCTGGAGGAGAAGTTCCTGGAGGAGAACATCCTCCTCCTGCGGAGGCAGCTGGTGAGCGGGGGCGGGGGGCGCCGGGGGATGCGGGCGGGGAGCGCCGGGGGATGAGGGTGGCGAGCGCCGGGGGATGCGGGAGAGGAACGCCGAGGGATGCGCGGCCGCTCGGCCCCGCGTGTAGGTGTGACCCGCGGGTCCTGCCCGTGGAAGGGCGAGGAAGCAGCCGGGGACCCCCTCGGGGAGCGCCCCCACCCCGCTGTCACGGCGCAGGGGAGGCGGCGGGCCGGTGACAGCTCGGGAGGGAACGGGTCTTACCGGCGTTTTGCCGGTGGCCGCACAGTTCTCTTCGGTTCCCGGAGCCAGACCGGCGGTCCCACTTCCATTCAAGGCAAGAGAGGCGCTGCCGTTGCCATGAATGGAAGTTGGGAGCCAGCTCCCGCGTCCCAGCCCCGACCGGAGGTTCCGAGCGCTCGGGCACCGGCAGGATCGGGCTCGTAAAGAAGGGATGCTTTTGTTGAAGGACGCGCTTTGGAGCTTGTGTGGGAAGAGGCGGAGGGCGGCATGAAGCGGCAGATCATTTTTCAATGAAAATAGCGTACAGCTGTGCCTGGCGCTCTTTGTGCGCGGCTCAGCATTTGCTTTCACCCAGGGAGAAGTTGGATTGCGTGATTTATTTCACTGATTTCTTCTTTTCCCCACCCCGCTGTTTCCCCCCCCCCGCTCCCTTTTAATATTTCCTATTAGCCTTTTGGTTTAGTTAATTTAGGATAGTTTCCTTCTTCAAAAGATAAAAATTAATGATTTTTCTGCTGAGAAGGGGCTGGCTGGCGGCCGAGAGCCGTAGTGAAGGACCAGGGAATCATTACTCAAAAAAAAAAAAAAAAAAAAGACCAAAAAAGCCCGGGGATTTGTGGTAGCACTTTAATTTGTGCACTTGACATTGGAGATTGGAACCAGATGCAGTGCTGCTGGGGGAGGGGGCGCTGGTGGCAGTAGGTGGCGCAGCGAAGTTACCCCTTGAACCCATCACCTTCTCCAGCCTGGCTGCCAGCCAGCCCCGGCTCCCGCAGAAATGTGGGGGAAGACCTGGAATCGCCCCTTTGGGTTCTCCGAGGATGGTCTTAAATGCCAGCACATCTTCAGCCAGCCTCGCCAGCGCTTTTTGCATTTGCTCTCCCTTTGCCCAAGGCCAGGTTGGACGGGGCTCGAAGCAACCTGGTCTAGTGGAAGGTGTCCCTGCCCATAGCAGGGGGTTGGAACGAGATGAGCTTTAAGGTCCATTCCAACCCAAACCATTCAAGGATTCTATGATTCTGTGACTGGCCCACCCAAGGGGAAAGGTTGTCCTGGATTTAACGGGTTTAGAACTAGTCCAGCTCTAAGCATCAAAACTCTTTGCACTGTGTGTATCAGAGCACCCCCTGTGTGCCGATCAAATGATGCACTCAAAGAAACAAAAGTAGATGAACCTTCTTCCCGCCTCCTCCACTTTCCCCAAAGCCAGAGCAATTAAAGGGTATGAAGCTGAACAGGTGATGGATAAGCAGCATTATAATACACATGGGGAAACTGATTGTGTTGACCGTGGGTTAATGAGTGCCTTGCAAAATCATTTCTTATTGCTTATTTTATGCCATCAAATTACCTTCATAAATAGCCCAAAAATTCATCTCGCAGCAATTTTACACAATTATAGTGGGAGAAGGGGAAGAATTACTTTTCCTTCCTGCTGCACTGCAAAACTAATAAAAAGGCTGCGATCCCAGCCCTGGGAATCTTGCTCTCTGTATGGCAAGACTATAAGCTCATAATGTGCAGCAGAACAAGGCGGTTCCCACACTACAGGCACTTGTTGGCAGAGCTGTTTCGTCCCATTGTGTGAGCAGATGTGATCTTTGACTAACACCACTGTGGTGGCGAACGTGCCCCGTTGGGCTGGCACAGCTGCCCAGCCCGTTTCGTGTGCCCGGGTCTGGTTTGACCCCCACCACACAAGGCAGCTTTGTTGTTACAGCTGTGGTCAGCACAGCGTGTTGGTCTTCCTAAATCGTGGAGCGTGCTCCTTAGGCAGAACTGGCTGGAAGAGGCTGGGATGAAGTGCCTGCATAATTCTTCGCTGAAGTATTTATCATCTAAAATTTCACGGCTTTGTTCGGGGGGTTGTTTTTTTTTTAATAACAGAATATTGACAAGGTACTCCCACAATGCTCAGATGGAGAAGTCTGTCTTTGGAACACCTCCTGAAGGAGCTGATGTTCTTTGTCGTCTTCTTGTTTTCCAGAACTGCCTGAGGAGGAGGGATGCTGGCTTGTTAAATCAGTTACAAGAGCTGGATAAGCAAATAAGTGACCTCCGCCTGGACGTGGAAAAAACAACAGATGAACACCTTGAGACAGACAGTCGTCCAAGTTCAGGTAAGGGCCCAGCAAAATGAAGCCTCCCTTGGTATCTGGAATTAAACTGGATGTAGTTTTTCATGCTGTAGTTTCCAGCAGTACAACAGTGAATGTTTACAGCATGTTCACACTCTGATAATCAGTTCCTACTAACAGAGTTCATCTACCGCTGAAAAGGGGCATCTCAAGCTTAATTAGATTTTTAGTGCTTGAGGTTTTTTTTTTTTTTTTTTGCAAGGGCACCCTCAAATTAGTTCAGGAAGTTCTAATTGTCCTGCATATTAGGAAGGAGACTGTAGGAAAAAAAAAAGGTGAAAGGAAGCACCACCAGCAGGGGGAAATGTGTCAAAATTGATCCTACAGCCAGAAGGGAACATAGAATAAAACAATTTGATCCCCCATGTATTGAATTTCATGTCATTCTAACTGTGTTGAAGCCAGTAAGTGGTATTTAACTATGGGGAGCTTTTCCTGGAGGCATTTAGACTTGTTCTAAAAGTGCTAAAAAGTGGAGAATCCACCAACTTGCAATTGTTAAAGCCATTGCTAATTTTGAATCTGAATTCGACTTGTTCCAGCACTGATTTTTTTTTTTTTTAATATCCTTTTATCCCCTAAAGAAAGGTTTCTCTCTAGTGCACAACTTTTCCTCCTCTTGGAGGTGCTATACAGTATAATTCCTGGTTTGTTTTTTTTTTTTTTTTGATGAGCTAAACAGGTCAAGTTCATGAAGTCATTCATTTTAAGGCATTTTTCCAAGCTCCTAAATAGCTTGATGGCCTCTTTCCAGTTTTTTAGCTTTGTTTTAAGCGTGCTGGATTCAAGGACTGGGCTCACCATTCCAATGTCTTTCTTACCAGTGCTGTATGGACTGCTGAAGTCATTTCCCTGCTGCTGTTCATTAGTCTCTTTGTACATCCAACAATCTCATTAGCTTTTTTTGCCTTATCATTAAGCTTGATTGAGCTGCTTTTCCACGCTGACTAAGCCCTTTCCAGGATTATTGTTTCCAGGATGCATCCCCATTCTGTAAGCATGCCCTGCATTCCTCGTTCCTAAATGTGCAATCTAAATTTTGTTTGTGGTGTGTAATTTTTTCTTGAGTAGTCCCAATTTACGAGGAAATTAAGTTTTATGTGTCTGCACATTATTTACCATTTTTCTTCTTTCCTGTCATCCACAAATATTACGTTTAGCCCCAGAACTTTGAGGAAAATAGTGAACAGCACTGGGCCCAACACTTTTGTAGTCAAGTAATAGTTGGAGAGTCTGTCTTGGAAGTGTAACACTATTAAATGAGTGGGCTGTCAAAGAGCCTGGATCCTTCTTGCTAAAATCTGAAAATCCCTGTAAAGGTTAAAACCCCCACTCTTGTAAAGGTTAGAAAAAAAGTTAAAAATTTCTGCTGTTTTACTTTTAAGTGCTTTACTTTTAAACAGAATCCTTCTTGGCAATAAGGGTATTACTAAATTGGGGGCTGGTTTTGGGGTGACTGAATGAAATCACGTAACTAATTGCAACAGAGGAAGCCAACTCAAACATGAGCTTGACTGCCTTTCTGGGGACACAAATGGTAACTTTGTGTAGACGTAACTAACATAAATCCAAACTCTTATTTTTATAGGGTTTTATGAGCTGAGTGATGGAGCCTCTGGATCGCTTTCCAATTCATCTAACTCTGTCTTCAGTGAGTGTTTATCCAGTTGCCATTCTAGCACTTGCTTTTGCAGCCCTTTGGAGGCAACACTGAATATCTCAGATGGACGCCCTAAATCTGCAGGTATAGTAAAAGCAGGTCGAGTACATCATACTCCAGGAGGTGGCTTTGGCTTTGGAAATACTGCCTCAGGAGTACCTGGGTTGGATTAACCCTTCTTCCTTTCATGTGACGTCTTTTATGCTCTAAAAAGATTCCAGTGCCTCTCACGTACATGGGTCACAAGGCAGGACTGTTTGCCCTCCACTGCTCCAGCCTTTCATGGGAACATGTCACTCCAAACACATGGAAATAACTTGTGAGATATAACAGCTGCTCTACCCAGCAGAGGGCAGTGGTACCTGTTCACAGAAACCCATTAGTCGGCTTATTTCTTGTGGTTTCCTCTGGAAAAGCATTTTTAGTAAATTGTAATAATTGAAGATACCTCATAGCCAAATCCTCATTACAGTCACAGAGTAAGGAGGTAGCTACAGGTTTTAAGGGGTCAGGGTGCATGTCAGTCTGTTTGTAGCAGTCATTTTTGTCAGTGCTGATGGTCCTCAACCCCCAGGTGACCGTGGTGAGGTGTGTCCTGCATTTACAAAGTGTAGACCAATAGACATTATGAACAGAGAAGATATCCTTTGTCTCTTTGGCAGAGAGTTGTGGACTTTCCTCAGACACTGGGCTGAAGATGCAGACCTTGATGTGTGGGATGATTAAATAGGAAGGGCTCCTCTGCCTGCTGTCCATAAAGGACACTTCAGTAGGACTTTTGTCCTTTGTTTTGTGGATTATTGGTTGCAGACATACTCATTCAAAAGCCTTAGCTCATTCTGGGCTGTGGAGGATGCTTCCAACCATGGTATTTCCAATTTCCACTCTGCTCTTTGAGGTTAACTTACAGTGATTTGTTGTGAATCAAGTACATTCATGCTCTTTTAATTCCGAAGTGGGAGAACACAGCTTTGGATACATTAATTCTGAGGTGCTGACAAGTCCTTTAAGTTACCCTTTGAGCAGCTTGAGGTAATTTAATGCTCCCTGTTGTAAAGATGTATGTGATCTTCATGGGCCATGCATAATAAGGAAAACATACGCAAGGAATTCCAGCTGATTGCATTGCAATACGTATTTTTATGTATATGTCATGAAAGCCTAAACCTCTTGTTATTCATACTGTCTCACATTTAGTTTCTAAAACTGGCAGTTTTCGAAGAAGCCTTTTTGTCGACATTTCCTGATTCCAACAGAATTTAGGAAAAGTGGGAAAACCGTGAGGAACTTCATGCTCCTAACTTCCCTGTTCTTCCCCTCCTGCTCACACAGGAACTCTGTCAGCTGCTTTCATCAACGCCTGTGAGACCTCTTTGAAATAAGCCTTAGATAAGTGATGAGCGCTGAGCATTCAAATTTGAGTACCCTGGCTGAAGTTTCCAGCCCAAGGGTAGAAAAACAGGACTGGCAGAGATCTAGAGGGATCATTTAGATTGTACCCCTACCCAAGCAGACAAGGGCAACTTCTTAAGCTTAAGAAAATAATAATCTTAGGTGCTTGGGTTGAAGCCCTGTTCTTAAGGTCTCTTACCTCCCCAGTAAGCGCCTTAGCCATTAAATCTGACTCATGCATCCTGAAACGCACTGGATTTCTCTTGCAGAACTCTCTTTGCAGAGCCAGGGCTAGGATGTCAGCTGGATTGACCTGCACTCCTTGTACTTGTGTGAAAAGATGAGCCTGTTTCCCATTCTCGAACCCTTTATCGCTCAAAAGGAGCATCTGTTATTATTATTAGCATTATTATAATTATTACGATAATAATAGTAATAATGATAATAACAACAATAATAAAATTAAATCTGGATTTTTTTCCTGACCCAAGACATGCTTGGAAGAATCCAGAAGTTAAATTTGTCAATAAGTTAGAATTCATTGTTCTCTTGTCTATGTTTTTTTTTGTTTCTCTTTGGATTTAGCGAAGTAAAATACAAAGTTCATACGTGCTGAGGCCTGCAGTGAGTTTTACAGGTGACTGTGTAACGTGTAAGAGACCCTTGCACACTTCTGTGGGGCTGAAAAGTAAGATAGGAAGCTCATAAGAACCTGGGCAGAGGTTTGAAACCAATGTAAAAGTTCTCATTAGGGCTGTGATTTTTATTGTTTCAATCATGTGGTCGTAGTGGAGCAAATTCCTACGTAGATGCAGTTACAAAGAGCCCCACAGAGGAGTAGTGCTGCTTTTATATCACTTGAATGGCATGTCCTTGGTTGCAAAACTGCTGCTGCTGTAGTTAAAACGTTGCGTCGTGTGCATAGATGGGACCGGTGTCCTTGGCAGCACGTTAGAAACGTATCACAGGTGTCCCTGGCAGGCTCTCTAAACTCTTCTAAAATGCCTTTCAGATCTCATAGGCTGGATGGACTATAATAAGGAAGGCCAGCATGAGGACCAGACCGCAGGCTCTGTCTGTCGCTCTTTGTCCACACCGCACTCAAATTCCCTCGATGTCGTTGCAGATGTACATCCCAAGTACCAGTGCGATCTGGTGTCTAAAAACGGGAACGACATCTACCGGTACCCCAGCCCGCTCCACGCTGTGGCTGTGCAGAGCCCCATGTTCCTCCTCCCCGTGACTGAGAACCCCCAGCGAGAAGAGGAGAGGCTCGGTGGCGATATTAGCGACGTTTGCACCCCGTCGGAAACGGACTCGGGACAATCCGCCAACACCTTCCTCCCGCAGAGCTCCTGGCCGGCACCCTGCCCTTCCACCAGCAAGAGGATAGACAGTTACATCTTGAGCCTGGTCCAGAAAAAGACTCACGCGGTGAGGACTAACAAACCCAGGACGAGCCTCAACGCCGATCCCACCAAAGGGATCCTGAGGCACGGAAGCATGTGTGTCAGGCAGCCGGCAGCCGTGGTGGCTCACGGCAACGTCGTGAGCCTGAAGAGCTCCAAGCAGGTGTGTTTGCCCCCCGGTGGCACCCCCGCTCTGGACCACACAGCACCCTCTCCCTTAAAGCAGAGGCCAAGGGAGCCAGCTGGCGAGCAGCTGGAGAGCAGGAAGGCACCTTTGCCGGCAGCTTTCCCACCCAGCACAACAACGGAACTTCAGAGCAAGCACCTGCCACGGGGTGTCAAACCGGCACCGCCGGAGCTCAACCGCGGCGTGGCGGCCACAGCAGGGGATGTCCCCAAGGAGAACGGCCAGCTCTTCGCTGCGTCTCCCAAAGAGAGCCCAGGGAAGCCCGTGGTGCTGCAGCCAGAGAACAGGGTCAGCCAGCCTCCCAAAAAGATCCTGCTGAAGAGCAGCTTGCAGGCAGCTCTCTCCTCGTCGCCAGCTGTCGAGGAGAGGCCTGCGCTGGATTTCAAAAGCGAGGGCTCTTCCTCGCAGAGCCTGGATGACGGGCTGCTGGTGAACGCCCAGTACATCCCTGCCCAGCAGCAAAGCATGAAACTTCACAAAGGCACCCGAAACGTCAAGATTTTGAAAAGCTCTGCGTTGAAACACAGGTCCCACCTCGCCAACGGGCTGGAAAACAGCTCACAGACCTTGCGGGAGAAAACCAAACCGGTGGGCAAGAAGTGCCGCTTTCCCGAGGAGTTGGATACAAATAAGAAACTGAAAAAGCCCTCGTCCCGGGGGAAGAGAGGCAGCGGGTTGCCGCTGGAGCCGGGCCCCCCCAGCCGGCAGGGTGGCCTGCACAGATCCGCCCTCCGCTCCCACGGGCACGGCCGAGAGGTCGTGGTGGCCAAGCCGAAACACAAGCGCGCCGACTACCGCCGGTGGAAGTCGTCGGCGGAGATTTCCTACGAGGAGGCCCTGCGGAGGGCCAGGAGGAACCGGCGGGAGGGCGTGGGGGTCTACCCGCAGGTGCCCCTGCCCTACGTCAGCCCCTACGCCTACGTGGCCAGCGACTCGGAGTACTCGGCAGAGTGCGAGTCCTTGTTCCACTCCACCGTGGTGGACACGAGCGAGGACGAGCAGAGCAACTACACGACGAACTGCTTTGGAGACAGCGAGTCAAGCCTGAGCGAGGTGGAGTTCGTAGGGGAGAGCACGACCACCAGCGACTCTGACGAGAGCGGGGGCCTGATTTGGTCCCAGTTTGTCCAGACGCTCCCCATCCAAACGGTCACAGCGCCGGAGCTGCATGAAAATGCAGCAAAGGCCTTTGTCAAAATCAAAGCCTCCCATAACCTCAAGAAGAAGATCCTCCGCTTTCGGTCAGGCTCCCTGAAGCTCATGACGACCGTCTAGTGAGGTGACTTGGTGGAATGTATCTGCTTCTGCTTTCGGAAGCAAGGTGCTTTTTTTTTTTGTACATATTTCCACAGAATTTTTTTTTTTTTTATACAAATATTTAAAACTTAAGGTAAATTATGTCACTTGTCTTCAGAACTTGGGTGGATACTAGTGCCTTTTACGTGGAAATAAAAGACCGTTATAAAAAACAAAAACCCAACATAACACTGCCATTTCAGTGGTGAACAGCCTCCAGCGTGTGGTGTCAGAAGGCTTTGAAAAAAGGCTAATGTTTCTGAGTATGGATCTCCCTTGCCTAGTTTTTCTAGTTCTGGGTCTTATACAGGATATTGACAGCTTAAGGTCATAAGTTTTTAGGGAAAAAGGGGGAGGGAGTGTGGGTGGTCTTCATGCTTTTGCTTGTCCCTTTCTGCTGCTGCTGTTGCCACATCTTGAACTTCTTCCTCCTGGTACTCTGGCCTGTGTTTTTTTTTCCTTTTCTTGTTGATTCTCTTCTTAAAACTCACCCCTGTCCTCCTCCAGCCTTCCCTCACCAGAAAAGGGCTCCTGTTCAATCTGTCTGCCTTCTCTGGAGTGCACTCTGCTCTGATCTCCCGGGAGTCCCGCTGCGGACGGCGGTGGTGTCCAGAGTAAACTGCTGGAGCAGCTGACCAAGGCTTAGTAACTTCATTATATTGTGTAAAACTGCTTTTGAAAAAGAAAAAAAAAAACCATATGCATGTCACGTGCATGAGTATCAGTAGTTTTAATATTCCTGTTGATGTCCAATTTACTGTACATCATCAATGGCTGTTTTTATATATATATATATATATATCATTGTGTAAATTAATATAACACATCATATGCTGTAATAAACAGTCTGTTTTAATACTTTTTAAAGTTTGTTACGTTGGTGCAGACCCAGTCAATGGTTTTATATTGGAGTTGTCACCACTTAAATGTGTCTGATGTGACCTGGCTTAATGTTCCCTGCATTTAGCCATGCAGGAAACAGAGCAAGTTTAAAGTGTTGCTGTGGATGTGACTTGTGCTGTGAGGGAATTGGATTGTCATGGCTCCTCTTGTTCTTCCCATAACTTGCATTTTTCTAAGGGCAAGGTAGGATTTAGGATCTCAGAGGCATCTTCAGGTTGTTGCTGATGGGCAGCTCACGTTGCGGAGCAGATGGAAGTGTAATATTAATCCTCCTCGCTGTCTGGGTGCTTCCAGACTTTGGTTGGTACAACACAGGGGCAGATGGTTGGTTTCTGTAACCAAATCGATCCGTGTAACGTAGCAGGTGTCCCTCTGAAACCTCCAGTAAATGAATCCCCAAGAGCTCTGTGCTCTGGGAGCTGGGCTGTGTGGAGGAGAGCACAGGTCTGTGGTGACCTCCTTAGCTGTGGCAGCTGACTCTATCACAGCCCTGGCAAGGTCATGGAAAGAAGTGACTATTGTGTCACCCACTGGTCTCTGTCTCAGTTTATTCCCATAGGACTGGAGGTGAGTCTGCCAGCAAAAGAGAAAGGAACTATCCATAGGCCACACTGCTTCCCTTCACAGCAACAGCTGTGCAGCTTCCTGGTGGGAAGGCTGGAGGTTTTTGGCAGGTTGAGCTGGTTTCTGCAGGTTCATCTTCTGCTTTGGCAACCACGAAGTGGTGGACATACAACTGGCGTGGATGCTGTGACTGGTATGGATTTCAGGGATTTGTGTGCAGCTTGTCCATTCCATGGCAAGATTCTGCTGAGCAGAACCTTCCTTTGTGGTTCCTCTGCATCCTTCCTGCTGTCACCTACCTGAAAGGCAGAGCAGATTTTTTTCTCAGGTTCCCTTGCATAGCAGATGTAGGAAGGAGAGATCCACCTGGAATTAAACATCTCTGGCAGCAGTTCTTGAGACAATGGGAACACTTTTTCCAAGAGGCAGATTCTATTTTTTAATCTGCAGTGCAGTAAATCCCTACCTATAAAATGTCTTATACTTTTTTTTTTTTTTTTTTTTTCCAAGAGGCAGATTCTATTTTTTAATCTGCAGTGCAGTAAATCCCTACCTATAAAATGTCTTATACTTTTTTTTTTTTTTTTAAGTAGAGAGATATCAGTTTCTGTGAGTGTTTTAAAGTACATCACAAGCCTGTGGATTCAGTGACCCAGAAAGTCCTTGCACTTCCATCTCCCATGATGCAGGAAAAGCTGTAACTCCCCTTACCTGCTTATAACTGTCCTATTGCTTTACACATGGAAGGGCAGCTTGTATATATATATATGTATGTATAAAAAATTTATATAATGGTATGAAATAATTCATCCAGAAATTACTGGACAGTGGCTACCACCACAGAGAGGGGAAAGAAGTAATGTTTATTATATGTGGCATTACTAAGGCTAAGCAGCAGCTTAATGCATTCCCATGAATAACTGATGGGTGTTATAGCAAACAAAGGGAATGTCTTGTGGAAGCTAGTAGTTTCTTTCCTAGAATATCTCTTAATCATGCCACATAATCTCTCTTTGAGCGAGAAAAACATGTGCAAATCCCTGTAAATCTCCTCGAAGTTGTAGCAGAGTTGCAGAGAGGATCCTCAGACATGCACTCCATCTCTCTGGCTGTAAAGGAGCCACTGGTGGAGAGACAAAGCAACCAGTGGATGAGGTTTTAATTGCACAGCTATAGCAGATTGCCTTGTTCCAGGTGAGGGAGGCTGCTTTTCAAAAGTGAGCTGCTGAATGGTTTCTTTTCAGATAATTGAGTAAAAAAAACCGAAATAACCACCTAAATATCACTAAGGCTGTATCAGCTGCAGCCACTGTATTCTGCAGTTCTCTTGCTGAATAGCTTGATACCAGACTGGGAAATGGGCTGATGGTATCTCTGTCTTAATTGCATCTGAGTCTTTTCAATTTGGGGAAGGAATTTTCCTTTTTTTACAGGATTTAGGTAAGCATCCAGAATCCTTTAGACAGGCCCAGGTTTTTCTATCTACTCCCAACCCCCTCCATATTTCTTTTTTATTAACAGATCTTAACAGTGCTGGAAAAGTACTTGATATGGTCCCAATGCACAACACACATTCTCGTCTCTGGTTCTGATTTAGGAAACACATCTGAGTTAGTAAGTTTGGCTGAAAAACATCTGCTGATCTTGGAGACCAGTTGAATATCTGGCACTTCTTTAAGCTACCTGGCTTTCCAGCTTCACAGCCTGGAGTCCTTGCCCGTGTATTTTTCATAATGTTCACATTTTAATCGTCCCCGGTGTTTATGGTTGCCTTTGGAAGTCTGAAGCAGGAACATTTCATTGCACTGGGACCTGTTTCAAGGTGGGGGTAGGTTGTGGTGGGGAAGTTTGGGATTAGGTATCCCTATGCTCCGTATGTAACTGAGTGCAGGAAAGCACAGACACAGAAAGGAACACGAGCAGACCCCTTTAGCTGGATTCCTTGTGATTCAGGAAACACGGTGTTTCTGCACACCTGGAGCGCCATCGCTCCCGCTGCGGGAATCAGCATCACACTCTGAGGGGATGAGCGTGTCACTGGGCTGTCTGCCTTCCAGCAGGCTTTTTGGGTCTGTCTTCTGCTCCCCAGCCCCAGCCACCAGCTGTGGGTCAGCAAATAAACAATCAAGCTGTGTCTGGTGCGTGCAGGGTCAGGGAGAGGCCCTGGCGTCGTGCCGAGACGTCCCAACTGCGTGAGGCCCCTGCTGTGGACCTCATACTTGTCCTGAGAAATCCAACGTGCCTGTGCTGCAAGGGCTCAGACAGCTGGGTCTGAAGGAAGGGGGGAATGGAGAGTCCCATAAATAGAGTGGCCTGATCCTGCTTCAGCTGTATTTCTAAGAGAGGCTGGAAGAAGAGGTGTTTCAGCCTCGTGTTTCAGCTCAGTAAATTGGACTGGATTAAAGAGAATCCTCTGAGGGACTCTGCCTCCTTTTTTCCAGAACCCTCTAAATGATCAAGGCCACTATCAGCACTGCCAGTTGCTCAGGTGCTTAAAGCATCTGACCAAGTCCTGCAAGAACTGGGGACAAGTGATGAGCTTCAGTCCCCCAGGTCTGTTTTTGGCCTTCCATGGCACAGCCCCTGTTTGCAGAGAGCCTTTAAGTCCCAGCCCTCTGCAGCTTTCCCTGTCCTGGGGCTTCAGAGGGAATCTATCCATCCCTTACAAGTTTTCTAGTTTCCTTATGTTTGGGGTTTTTGCTGGATAAGGACTGAAAAGAAATGCTCCACGACAGTCCTGTGCCTTCAGTAATCCCAAATCTGTTTGTTGGCTCAGAGGAAGGTCAAATGGCAGCTCAAGTGGCGCTCCTCAGGTGGCAGCCAGCAAAGCCATCCCTCAGGGACCTGCATCTCTTTCTGTCACAAAGGGCAGCAAAGGCTTGGGTTGGCTGTGGTCACCACTTGGCAGATGATTCACCACAACGGGCACGGCTCTCCCTCAGCATGTGATTTTTCTCACAGGAGGGAACAAGGACGTGAACATTTTTGAGGAAGCAGAAACAGCTAAATGCATTTTTAATAGCTAACTTCAGTGTCTAGTATGTACCTTTGGAGTAGCCAACAAAAATACACAGCACTGAGCTGCTGGTACGAAATACAGAGCCATTCTCAGCTCTTTGCAATGTCCTGTCCATGGTAGGAGGGGACACAGAAACCGATGGAGACAAATCACAAACCCCAGGTCAGTTTGTCAAACTTGCTTTTCTCCTGAATTTCCCTGAACCTCTAAGGTATTGCACTGGGGCTGCTTGCATGTCATGGTGTTTCTTTTCCTAACTAAACATTATAGATGGAGATCTGTGGTGAGAAACAATTGGTGCTGGAGCGTGTCCAGAGAAGGACGAGAGAGGATGAAAGGACTAGAGAAGAAGTCTCATGAGAAGTGGCTGAGGGAGCTGGGGGGGCTCAGCCTGGAAAACAAGAGGCTTAGGGGGAACCTTCTCGCTCTCTACAACTCCCTGACAGGAGGCTGTAGCCAGGTGGGGGTCAGGCTCTGCTCCCAAGAAACAAGTGATGGGACAAGAGGAAACAGCTTCAAGTTGCACCAGGAGAGGTTTAGATTGGAACTTAGGAGAAAAATTTTCTCTGCATTGGAACAGGCTTCCCAGGGAAGTGGTGGAATCGCTGTCCCTAGAAGTGTTCCAGAAATATGTGGATGTGGCGCTTGAGGACTTGGTTTAGTAGTGAACATGATGGTGCTGGGGTAACGATTAGACTCAGTGATCTTAGAGGTCTTTTCCAAACCTAACTGTTCCATGATTCTTCAAGTGGCTTTAGAGGTTAAAAATTCTCACAGTGCTGGAATGAGGGGAGATATAGAAACCAGTGGGGGATCTGTTTAAAAGGGATACTAGAAAGTGCTTTTTTACACAGCAGGGAATCTGCTACCACAGGAAATAGTGAGACAGATGTAATATCAGCAAGTTCAGAGGTGTTAGAGAAGGTAGGGATGGGTGTGCTCTACCATCCCCAGTCAATGATAGTGGATGCCAGGAAGAGTGTGAGGTGAATGGACTGCAAATAGTGGCCAGGCTTGTGTGCTCCCACTCAAGATTGTTTTTCCCTCTTGTTGTTGAACTACCATTAGCTGGAAGAGATGCACCATCCTGTTGACACAGCAGACCATTTCCTCTGCTCCTATGATCTTGGAGTAGCTGATGGGGGTTGTCTATGCAACTGAATTTCCTCACTCTTTATTAGTCTTTTGCCCTCCCAAGTGCTGCCGAAGGCAAGTTTTGCATTGCTTTGCAAAGAAGTTCACTTTCCACGCTTGGCTGACACGTGTTTGTTCAGACTGTGGGCATGTGTTTCTGGTCACTCTCGTCCTGTGACACAATTTCATCCACTCTTTTGCATGGGCAGCCTGTGCTGAAGTCCTTTGTTATGGTGAACATCATTCCCTGTCCTACAAACACCGTTATGGACACAGCCCATAGATGATCCTCATGACTTCAGTCCATACATTAGTCTACCATGGGAGCCACTGTTGGGCAGCAATTTCACACCCTACAGTTGCTTATAAACTCTAGAAGAAGCTGGTGAACTCCAAACCAAATGAACCATCCTAGGGACAAGAATGCCTCCACTGCTCCTTGCCTTGGGACTTTGCTATCCTTGGAGAGCGTTTCTCTCCATCTGACTGTGTCTCCATTGGTGCTTTGGCTTGGAGCAACAGAGCAATCTGGGAGTGAGTCCCATGGTCATCTCCACTTGGTGAGTGCTGGTTTGGACAGCAGAGCAGTTTTGGGGCACACTTGGTAGATGCCTTGAGAACACTGACCCGGGTGGTCCACTCCAGGGACACAGCAAATGTGTTTCTACCCGATCAGGGACATGGGGATCTGACCCAGTGATGGCTCCCTGGAATAGCTTCCAGTCAAAAAATATGGGCAAGTCTGGTCCAAATGACATTGGGGACCAGACTTAGTCTAGGCTAAAGTAAACACTCGAACTGTGTATATTGTACTTGTGGGGAACTCTCTTTGGATCTGCTCCTTTTGTGCTGGGTGACCTCTAATGTAAACAGAGCCTTTCTCTCAATTAATGGCCTTTGTTTCCATGTGTATTCCTTTAAGATCAATAAAGTATATTAACATTATTACCTTCATTTCATTGAGCCAAGCTCTGAAAATCTGGCTTTTGTTCTTTTTAAGGGAGTTGTAAGTCCTGGGAACTAAGACTTTCGTGACTATACTAAAGGAAAACCTCTATGATTTAGACTCTGACCTCATGATGGGTTTCATGTCGTCAGGCTTTGTAAGAAAATTGTTTTATCCCCCCAGAAAATGTCAAGTCTTCTGTGGTCAAGGGCAGGAAGCTGAAAAACTTGCAGCCTGTTGAAAAATAATTCCCTGTATCTCCTTGTGAGCCTTGAGCCTTCAGAAATGAG